TCATTTTTTTCTATAGGGTTATTCAATCTTAGAGTTTCCCTATAATTTCAGAATTGCAATACATTACAAATAGTTTCTTTTGGCTTATGTCTTTCCTCTTAAGTTCATTTATCGTAAATAAAATTTAATTTTAATGCAAAATAAGAATTAGCAGTCTTCCATTATAGTTTGCTTTTGTTTGTGCTTTACGTATTTTTTTTCTTTTTCCAATTCAAGTATTACAAGTTTCCTATGTTTTCTTTACAAATTATTAAAATTTTGTTTTGGACATTCAAGCTTTTAAACATTCATTCATTCCATGAATTGTTCTAATTCTTCAGAAACAACAATGAAGAAAATGAATAATGCCTCATCTGTCACTTTTATTATTATTATTTTGATTTCATATAGTGTTTCACTTTGTAAAACATGGTATCTAGCTTAATACGAAAACATGAATGTTGACTTGAATATGTCGCTTATTTGCCTTGTTTTCATTGACTTCCAAAGTCTGTAACTTCGCTTTTATTTTTCTATAAAACTCAGCTAATTACAAACTTTGTCATGAAACTCAAGAAAATTAAACTTATGTCAATGTTTTACAAATCACAGAATTATGCATATTTTCTAATTGATATTTAAAATTAAATTTCGAATTGAATTGCCTTTTAAAACATACAGTAATATTAGTTTTCCTTTATTTATAGAACAAATATTTATTGATCTTTCTCTATCTGCTAATTTTGTATATGAAAGTCTGTCTTCCTGAGTGTCAAATTTGAGCCAGATTATCAGTCAAGAGAAAGAAAACAATACCCATTTATTTTCTGTTTTAAAATTACTAAATCATTTCTCTTCATATCAGCTAAATTTCTAAACAAAACATATGCAAATATCTACAGGATTGTATCTGATTATCTTCTTGCTGTCAATTACTGTCAAAAAACCATGGCTATAGCCAGTATACCAGCACTTTGAAAGCCATATGGTAAAATCAATCTAGTCTGAACTATAAGATGCCTAAAATAGCCAAATCATTGCTTGGTCATCTAGCCATTTGGGATACCATATTAATTGGTTCATATTGTTCTATGAATTCTGTGGTGGGCACATGTCGATATAATTTAAAACATCAGCTGTCAAGTGGTCTACTTTGGTCATTGAGCCTTTGATGAGAAAGCTCATAAAAATTAGCATGTTCACGTTGTTGCCATGGTGACCATTGTGATAAAAAGAAATCTGGAGAAATACGGATCAAAAGGTTGTATGTTTTTAAAGCACAAGTAATAGAACATATGTTTATACTACAGATTTGTTCCTACTGGGGGTTGACTTATGCTCCTTGTGTGTGGCCAGATGTTTTATATCACTCTCTTTTCATAAGGTGCAAACCTCCTACACCAGCAGTCACCATTTCTGAATACTAGTCGGCATGTGTCTGCAGAGCATTTTAAATTGGTTCCACGTGGTTTTATGAGGGAAAATCTCTGAAATGCTGTTCTACACACATTCTTAGCAAATTAATAATGATTGCTTGTTAGCTGAAATAAAGAACTAAAAGTACTACAATATAAGGATAAATCACTCATCACCATACTGAACACCCATTGGTCAAAGTAGTAATTACAGTTGAGATGTTTGAAACTTTGCTGCGTTATTTTTGATTAATATCATTATTGACAATTTCCTTCATTTATATGCTATATTCTGATTACTCGCTCCCCTTTACCATCCCTTATCTCTCCAAATCTGGACCAACCTCTCCCTCTCTATCCCTGGACCAACCTCTCCTTCTCTAACCCTATCAGTCCTATCCCCAGATTCATTATTTCACATTTTAACCCATTTAATTTAACTGGAGTTATTTGTGTGATCATTAGATTAGAGCCATCCATTGGAAGCTGGTGGGATCATAGTGAGTACACAATTAAAGGTAATGATTTCCTCTCCCCCTGAATTTACCAATAGAAAATAGTCCAGCAGTGAAGGGTAGTGTCCCCTGAGCACTTTCCATATCATTCCTGATTGTCAATGAGGTCATTCCTATTATGTAGACATAATGAATGTGTCTACAGCTGCTATGCGTCCATGATTGTAATGGCTGTGTCTTGTCCAGAAGATGACATTTTGCAGCATTTTCTCCCTATCTTCTGTCTCTTACATTCTTTCCAACCCTTCCTCTGCAGTGTTGCCTGAGCCTTAGAGGGTTGGTATAAATGTCTTATTTAGGGCTTAGTACTCTTCCATCACTTATCTTCAGTACACTTGTCCAGCCATGAGTCTCTGCATTCTTCACTGTTCACCAGAAAGACAGGTGGCCCTGCCTAAGGCTGAAAGTAGTGTTTGAATATGGACATAAACATATAAGGCTTTTGAATTTGCATATAATTTACTATTCATAGCACATTTACATATTTTATTGTTTTCTATAAAATTGGTAATACATTTAAAACTAACTGGTTTCATAGCTACTGGTAAGTGATACATTTTCCCTGCATATGATTCAGAATAGGCTAAGTTATACTATCATAATGAACAACCATGAAAATATAATCATTTCATAAAATGATTGGTTTACTTCTCATTTATCTTATTTGTCTGTCTTGTTAGAGCTTACACTTCATGGTGTCTTGATAAAGGGAAGTGTGTTGATGACAACATTAATTTCTGCAGTCTTATGACTTGGAAATCAGGGAAGAATAAATAGTATAGTTTAAAAGGAAAGTCTCATTTTATCTGCCAAAGTAAACCAACAACCATGTTGAATTTCAAGCAAGCTGGGAGGTATAACCCTAAATGCACCCAGAAGGAGGAAAATCAGAAATATCACATCAACAGCATTCAGCTTGCATAACCTGTTAGAAAGATCACAAGAGGAAAGACAGGATCCCTGTTCTCTGTACTAATAGTCTGCCTGGTCCTGCAAGCCAGATCTATGTAAACTGCTAGAGTAGTGTGGTAAATATTCTTGATGCAACTATTCAGGCTACTAAAACAAGAGAACTGGCATAATAATAATAATTCAAATATAAAAAGAAAGTATATGAATTGCAAATCCCTAGCAGGTGGCTCTTACACCCAGCTTGAACTAGTAGGAGAATTTGGGAAGGTGTAACTGGGAACCGGATGGTGCTGACGGTGTTTTAGGTGATGTTGATAAGGAGCAAGAAGAGAACAAGCACAGAAGTCACTGCAGACCTGAATTGAATTTACATGAATTCAACTGCAAAAAAATGAGGCATCTGGGAGACTTTATAACAAGAGAGAGGGTCAAGGTGGGAGAGAAAGGAATGGAGAGGTGGTGAAAGAGGAGCAGAGACTGGGTGGGGAAGAGAGAGAAGGGGGCAGGAGAGGGGAGGGGAGGGGATGGGAGGAGAGGGGAGGAGAGGGGAGGGGAAGGTGTACTATGCTTTTTCTTTGGGGCCAGCAACCAGCTCCCAAATCATAACACAGAGACTCATTATTAGTTTTGAATGCTTGGCCTAGCTTAGACTTGTCTCTGGCTAGCCCCTTTAACTTAAATTAACCTGTTTCTCTTTATTTACCTTTTGCCTCAGGGCTTATTACTTTTCTTCTGTATGTCTTACTTCACTGCTTCTCTGTGTCTATCTGGCTGGCATCTGCCTGGCTTCTTGCCCCAGCATCTCCCTCATTCTCTTCTTCCTTTTTCTCTTGTTCTTCCTTGTTCTTCTCTCGAGAGACTAGATTTCCCCTCCTATTTATTCTCTCTTCCTGCCATCCCCACCTATTCTTTGTCCTGCCTAGCTATTGATCATTTGACTCTTTATTAGACCAATTCAGGTATCTTAGGCAAGCAAGGTGAAACAGGTGCAAGATATCTTTACATAACGAAACACACATCTATACATCTTTAAACAAATGCAGCATAAACAAAAGCAACACACCTTTACACAGTTAAAGTAACATTCTACAGAACAAACAAATGTAGCATATCTTTGCCTAGTTAAAATAATATTCTACAACATTTCCCCCTTTTGTTTAAATAACAAAAAGGGTTTAAACTTTAATATAGTAAAGCTATATACAAGAACAGTTATCAAGTAAGGATTACATTCACAATGTCCAGTCAATTTGTATTTGGCAAATTCAGAGAAATCACTTTATTGTCTATTTTATTTTGATGTCAAAGCTCTGTACCTAATTTACCTTTTATCATAACTAAGGAAAACTACTACTTTAACTATCTAGTCATCAACTTCACCCCAGAAGGATAAAATTTTACCTGAATAAATAAGAAGTTCAGTGCAAACCACTTCCAAACTTATAAAGAGAACAGATATCTTGCTGCCTGGACAGTCACCCAACCTTTTTTAACAGTGGGGCATCCAATTTCAGCCTAGAAGTCTAGAATATCTGGGAGACTTTTCTATGAAGCAGGAATTTTGAAGGACTGTCCTACCTTGTTTTGACAAAATTTGACAGTCTTTTTTCTTTGTGTCCTGCTTATTCAGTTTGTACAGCATACTGCCAGCAGTCAAGCCAAGAGCAGTTTCTTGCTCAATTGGCTAGCTTTGCCACAATTAAAGCAAACTCCATATGGACTGTCTTCAATGCCCCTCATTCTTTCTGAAGTAAATTGGTGCTGCCAGGAGCAGACATGTCTCACTGTTATAAAAAAAAGTCCTACTTTAACAAAACATTTTAAATAGCATAGTCTGTAGATCTTTGGAGTATTTGAAGACCATCTATCTATCTAAAATATATCTGGAAAACATACCTAACATAACTACAAGTTTGATTGTTATAGATAACACTACCAACCTGCATTTATTAATTATAGATTATTTTTTAATGAATTGCATGAGCATACTACCCCAAACAAGAATAGAACATATATACAGTATAACAAAAATAACTTTAAATTTGTATCAATATACCAAAATCCATACCAATGCAAAGTACTTGAGATTAATAATTGTCTATTCCTACATTCCTATATCCATGCTAAATGATGACAAACATCCATAACCCACAGAATGACCAAAAACTACCCACTTTACCTTTTGGGAATGTGGGTATTGTATCCTCTAGACCGATTCCTGTTGTGTGGGAATGAAGGTATCTTTTTAGGGTTTTAGGCAACCTGAGAAAATTGAAATAATGGTCAATTCCTGAGGGATCCAGTTATAACATATGTTGTCCAGTCTTTCTGTGCAATGAGAAAGCATAAGGCTTATCTGCAGTCCTGGCTAGAATAGTCTGTAATGCTGGACCATTTCAGCTAGCAGCCTTGAAGCTGTTATGGATGCAGAACTCTGAAGAAACTGCAACGGAGGTACCCTGAGAGGCTGTATCACCTGGGCCACATGTTTTCATTGGCATTCGCCCACCTTACTTTGAAAACACACAGACTTTCAAAGGTAACATACATACCTGCATTAACACAAGTATGGACTGTGCATTGTACACAAGCAAGCCAAAGATACTTTTATGTTTTGAGCAGGTAAAATATATGTCACCTATCTTGTAGTTTTTCTGTTTATTTCTTTATATCTGTAGCCAGGATTGATTTTCAAGGTATCTTCCAGGATCACACTTGATCATTACTAACCTGGAAGGAATCCAAAGCCTTTCATTCCCTGTGGAAACAAAAGCATAACCTCTTCCCCAAAGCAAGACAATTTTGATTTCCATTTTCAAGTTAAGGCATTTTTGAAATATCTATGCTGGATTATTTCAGCAGTCCCTGTTACAATCCCATGTCTCTCAGCAGCTGCCTTTTGCTTATCAAAATTCAAATATAAAACAATACCATACAGGATCCAGACTCCTTGTGTATTTCCCATTTCTATGTGGCTTATTCTTTTTATATTACTTTACTTCTCTCTTTAAAGACTTTACTATTTATAAAATAGTCATTTTTTTCTATGACAGTCTGTATCCTTTTTTCTTTCTTAAGCCTACACACATTTTAAAACATACTGTTAGCTGTTTGGAGGTTTTTCCATCTGACCCTGCTTTCCTGAATGTCTCCCGTCTTTTGTGTCTGCATGAGCAAACCCTTAAGCTGCTAAGCAGCTTTGCACTGGTGGCTCTGGTGACTGGCTCTGCTCTGCTTGGGTCCATGAGAGTCTGCTCTACACCATGTTTCTTTTCTTTTTTTTTTTTTAAGTTTCTATTAGTCGTTATGGAGTTTTTTGTTTGTTTGTTTGTTTGTTTGTTTGTTGTTTTGTTTTGTTTTTTATTTTACGATACCATTCAGTACACCATGTTTTTTAACTGGGACCTTCATTCAATCTCCCCATCTCTAGGGTGTGGGTGCACTCACCGCAGCAGGTGTTCCTACCCCAGCATGTTGTTTCTACGTAGTGTGAAAAGGCTGTTTAAATGCTCTGCTGTCCAGCAGGGACTCTTAAAGGAGCTGTATCCATTTTTAAAAATTTCCTTCTTTCTTTTTTCCTTTCTTTCTTTTCTTTCTTTCTCCTTTTTAGCTTTCTTAGGCCCTATGTGTAAAATTGGGCCTCACATTGGAACACTAAAATGTACCAGGCTTTTTCTTTTAGGCCACCAACCAGTTCCCAAATCCTGACACAGAGATTTGTTAATAGTTTTGAATGCTTGACCTAGCTTAGGCTCATTTCTGGCTAGCTCTTTTAACTTAAATTGACCTGTTTCTCTTTATCTACCTTTTGCCCCAGGGCTTATTTCCTTTCTTACTTCTGTATGTCTTACTTTCACTGCTTCTCTGTGTTTGTCTGGCCAGTGTTTACCTGGCTTCTTGACCTGGGCTTCTCCCTCATTCTCCTCCTTCTTCTTTTACCTTTCCTCATCCTTCTCTCTCAAGCCTAGATTTCCCCTCCTATTTATTCTCTCTCCCTTAAAGCCCACCCATCCTTTGTCCTGCCTAGCTATTGGCCATTCAACTCTCTATTAGACCAATCAGGTGTCTTAGGCAGTCAAGGTGAAACAGATGCAACATATCTTTACATAATTAAATACATATTCTTACATCATTAAACAAATGCAGCATAAATACAAGTAATACACTTTTACACAGTTAAAGTAATATTCTACAGAATAAACAAATGTAACAAATCCTTGCCTAATTAAAATGATATTCTACAACAGGGAGGAGAGGAGAGAATTGAAGCAAATGTGTCATCCAATTCCCCATTGTATTAAATGAGCCATATGTCCTGGTGGAAATGTGAGATAAGATACTTGAATCAGTTCTTCCAACCCCTGTTCCAAATCCCCTTCTACCTCTCAAAGCACCAAATATGAGTATAACAGGAATTTGGGCATGATGCAATGTTAACACACATTTTCTGTGCAACATGATCCTTAAACCTAAGCTAACTACTTCAAAACTTGTTTGATTGAAGCAACAACCAGTTTTTTTCCAATTAAAAATAGCAACAGCAACAACAACAACAACAACAAAAAATGTAGACCAGGCTGTTCTTAAACTCCCAGAGATCCACCTGCTTCTGCTACCTGAGTGCTGGTGGATTGAAACAGTTAGAGAAGCTTGTGTTCCATATTACATCTACTACAGAAAGTAATAATTGCATAGTTACCTTTTCAGCAGTGTCATAAATACCTGTATAAAGAAACTTAGGGGAAGAAATGCTTAGTTTGGTCCACAGTTTGAATGAATACAGGCCCCCATGGGAGGAAAGGAATTGGGGCAGGCTACCCCGCAGTGGCAGGAGAAGGAAGATGGGTCTCCTCTTCACATTTCAACATGAAGAGAGGAAGGCCAATGCTTATTGCCCACCTGGTAATCTCCAAAGTCAGGAAGGTTGAATATTAGAATTTCTGTTCCTATTTTTCATCAAGCTCATTCCTAATGCTTTGAATATATTCATACTATCTGTGATTTTTAATATACTATATGCACAATGTTAATAGATAAATAGGTACATATATGTTGGGAATATCTGCTCAAAATTTCTTTTTAATGTGAATGTATGCTCAGAAACATTTAGATACTACTGCACAACCCAATTGTTCAGATGTATAAATGAGCATAAGAATCAATACATCCATAATTTGATATAGCTGAATGGCAGGGAGGATCCACATTGGAAAATTCTGGGGTCATGAGATACAATTTGGACAAATCAGTTGAGACTGGATATAAATGGCGCTGAAAGCTAATCTGATTTTTATATTACTATTAGCAATAGAACAGGCATGTACATGTCAAGAATTATACAGACTGACAATGCCAAGTAATGGATCTGAGAATAATTTCCAGGTTACATATTGGTGCAGCATGGAAAATATATGATTGGTTAATACTGCCTTGCCTGGACCCTAAGCAGTAGCAGTCTTGGTGTGCTTGATGTCCTTAGTCCTGTTAATACCTCAGATCCTTAAATATTAGTGGTAGCTATGGTTTAGAAGATTGAGCAACAGGCATACTTAAATAATTTTAAACTACTGACCTTATTTTGTTTACATAAAAGCCACCTACTACCTTATACTTTACAAGTAAAAGAAACCAATATGATGCTGATTTCTATTGCATAGACCAAAACAATTTGACATCCACATGATTAATTTGATCTGTGTAGGGAAAACAAATGCAAATTAAGGCATTGTTTCTTTTTTTATGAGTTATCGATGTCAGTTACACGATATCTCAACATGCCTGAGGCTAAGGCACTAAGTCCAAATAGACCTAGAAACAACACAAGACATGGACAGAATCCAGACAGGTTCTGGCTTAGACAAGGCAGACAGAGCATGAGTGCAAATTGATTTTCTATTTGCTGAGCTGTTCAGTGAGACATGTGCATAGGGTCCTCGTATATAGTGACCATTGTTCCAAAACCTCTGACTCTTGGAAGTGGGCAAAAGAGTAAAATATTCCTGTTTTCTATATTCAACACTGTTATCAGCCTACATAGATATAGAAAAGGGTAGCATTCTTTGAAAACAAAAAGCAAAACACCTTATAGATAGGATCCTAACTGCTCACAAAGAGCTCTTTACAGTTCCACTTGTTACTTCCTCCAACTTACCATGAGGTACACTTACATAACCACTTAGGCTCTCAGTCTTACCAAAGATAAAAAATAATAACTTTGTAAAAAAAAAAAAAATCCCTGTTTGGTGCATAGCAGGTTCAAATAGAAGACAGCTGTGGTGTGCTGTAGCATATTTATATTTAAGTCACAGTGACATTGCCTGTTGTAAGGGTTGACCCCAGCCCTAATGCCCAAGACAAGTGACCACTATGTCCAGTGTCCCCACAGAAGCAGAGAGGAGTATTAAGTAACACATTCTCCCTGCTTGGGACTCGGGTTTGCTGTGGGATGGTCTGTATGTCAAATCTGTTCCTTTGATTGGTCAATAAATAAAACACTGATTGGCCAGTGGCAGGTAGGAAGTATAGTTGTGACTAACAGAGAGGAGAATTGAGAGAACAGGAAAGCAGAGGGAGACACTGCCAGCCACCGCCATGACAAGCAGCATGTGAAGATGCCGGTAAGCCACGAGCCACGTGGCAAGGTAAAGATTTATGGAAATGGATTAATTTAAAATATAAGAACAGTTAGGAAGAAGCCTGCCACGGCCATACAGTTTGTAAGCAATATAAGTCTCTGTGTTTACTTGGTTGGGTCTGAGTGGCTGTGGGACTGGCGGGTGACAGAGATTTGTTCTGACTGTGGGCAACGAAGGAAAACTCTAGCTACACAGGTTAGTA